GAAACTGGGATGATGAACCAGAAATATCTTGAATCCCAATTTCTGCTTTCCTGGCAGTTTTACTTGGTACTTCAAACCCTTTTGCCTTTACCTCCCCCCCACACACACCTCAAGTTTTTGTTGTTTTGATTTTTTTTCTTTTTTGCTTTGCCTACAAAAGTGAAAACAGGAAGCAGGAGTAGCGGCACCCGTGCGTTTTGTTTTCCAGGGAGATGTGCATCCAGCAAGATGGGAGAATTCATCTCACTGTTGTTTACTTTGGGAAAGAAGAAATGAATGAAGTCAAGGGAATACTGGAGAACACGTCCAAGTGAGTACAGCTGGAGCGAAACACAGAGTCCCGGTAACCAAGTGTAGGAGTACACAGTCAATCCTTAACAACAGGAAAAGGTTAACTGGGAGATTAAGGGCTGGTCCAGTGTAGGAAAATTCGGCATGATTCTTCCCAGAAAGCGACTGCCTGACACCAGTCTTCTTTGTGCGGGTGAGAGCTGGGACAGTGGGGGAGACACAGGGCAGTGTGGGCTTCTGCGAGCTCCCGCATGCCCAGAGGTACTCACTCAGCATCGCAGATTTGGGCCTTCAGGCCACTGCAGAGCACGCCGCCCTCAGAGAGAGCACAGCTGCGCCTTGGGCTCCACCGCTGTCTCCACCAGGGCTTCAGAAGCCAAGGATTGCAGCTGTGTTCACATCCATCCACTTGAAAGGGTCCTACGTTCCCTTTTCATTCATTATGTAGCTAGCGATGAGAAGGGGACGCCACAGCGTTTCCTGGGACGGCATCCTTGATTAAAACTACTCAGGTGGACGGAAATGATTTAACTTGATCATTTAACCCCAAGGTTGTATATTTGTACCTCATTCATCAGTTGCATGGGGAATAGATGTATTCAAACAGCGTAAATGGAGGGGTTTTTTTTTCCTCTACTAAAATAAATAACTCTTATGGCATCTTGTTCCAGTGAGGATGCCAGAATTGGTACCTTGTTGCTTCTCTTTGGCTTGCCCTGGAAGGTTGCAGGGCTTTAACTGAGTACCTAGTCGGGCGGGTGCCTTCTATGGAAGAGAAGCTTTGACGGTGTGGCAGCGACAGAAAGGGCCTGAAGAGGCTTGCAGAATTTAGATATAATGAAAACATTCTGTTTTGAGTCTCTGGTAAATTGAGTTCCTGTGTATGTTTCCATGATTTAAAAAAAACTAGTTCTATATTAATGAATACAAGGTCAGTCCACTAGTTACAATTTTCAAACATTCTAAAACAGAAATAGCAAACTATAGCTCACTGGTCAAATCTTGTCTGTCACCTGTTATTTTTTAAAAAAAAAGTTTTATTAGAATATATCTTTTTTTTTAAAAAAAAGGAATGTATCTGTCTGTTTACATGAAGATTTATGGCTACTTTTGTGCTACAACTTCAAAGTTGTGAAGTTATGATACTGTAAGACTCACAAAATCTAAACAATTTGCATCTAGCTCTTCACAGAAAAAAATATGGTGACACTCATTCTAAAGACTAAAGAGGTTAAGACTGGTGAGCAATGTAAAGCTAAGGACAGTGTCTGAAGGCATCGAATGGAATACAGTGCCTGAAGATCTTTAATTAAGGGAGGCAGAGGTCTGTTGACATCAGTGCACTCCAGTATCCCCTGCCTAGAGTTGAAAGCACGGGTGATTAGCGTCATGCCCATTGCTCCTGGGTGGCTTTGAACATCTCCAATATTACGGGCGTGGACTTAGTTTCCTGGTTCAGATGCACAGCCAGGAATGAGGACCCTTCTGAGGTCCTGTAATTATCAGTCCAGGTGATTCCGAGGAGCAGCCAGAGCTGACAGTCTCTATGCTGTGGGTCTCACACCTTTCTGACGCATCAAAGGATAATCAGACATGTGCTGAAATTACACATAACAGCTGATGTGGGTCTAATTGGTAGGTTAGACGTATTATGGGAAATGCGCTTTCCATTGACTAGAATCCTTAAGTGCCATCCTGGGAATCTTCTGCATATGGAGTTACAGAGAGCAAAGTTCTCAGCCAGAAAGGTTCTCCTCCATGAAGCTGTCCCCGATGCCATGTCCTTTCCTCTCTGACCTGTGACTCCACCCACTTTCAACACCTCATATTTGGTACCAGGATCCAACTTGGTTACTTACATTCATTTTTATAGTCCTTACTTTGTAATTAAATTATAAGCCACTCAGTAGGTAGAACTGTGTCTCCTTCTTCCTCTTGCTATCTCCAGAACTTAGCATAACAGCTTGTGCAAAAAACATTTTGAGTTTGTTTATTGAAGGAAGGAGCATGCCAGTTAATTAATAAACTTGATCAAATAGTAACATGCAAGCTTATATGAGGGTTATTTAAATATCTTTGTCATTTTTTAAGACAGAAAAATTTAATACGATGACATTTAATTTTTGATTAATAATAGCTATTATTATTGCTTTGGTTGGTGTCTAGTTGTCCCCCCAAAGCCTCATACAGCTGTGGGGAAGTTTTTGGAGTTTAATTGATTTTTTTTTTTTTTTTTTTTTCAGAACTGGGGATTGAACTCAGGCCCTTGAGCTTGTCAGGCAAGCGCTTATTCTACTGAGCCATCTCCCTGGCCTCCCTTTTTTGTTTGTTTGTTTGTTTGTTTGTTTGTTTGATTGATTCTTGATCCAGTGCTGGGGTGGTGGGTGTAGCGCCCTGGGGCAAATACTGTGTGTACAGATGTAAGGAGGGAGACGGACGTGCTCTCTGCTCTTTGCCTCTGCCGTGAAAGCTTGCTCTCTGCCACGTGCCACTCTGCCTTGGAACCTGCCTGAAACCCCCACTCACTGTGAGCTAAATGAGCCTTTCCTTCCTTCATTTTGGGTGTTGGATATTTGTCCCAGTGACGAGAGAAGAGTAACTGAGACAATTATTATTTACACAAATTATTTCTTATTTAAAGTAACTTTTTAAGATAAATGCTGCTGTTAGCTCTGTGTCAGAGATGACATAACTGGGGCTTTAATAGGTTGCTCCTCAGGGTGTCACCCCAAGCACCTCACTGGCTTAGATCCAGAACTCACAGTCTCACACATTGTCAGATTTTTCACCCCTATGTGTCCCCTCCTAAAATCCAGAATTGTTACTTGAAGGTACTAATATTGGTAATCAGACTGAATGAAATGTATTTTATTTGGAGAAGTCTTATAATTAAGCTATTCTAAATCCAGCTGAGTGCATGCATTCTAAGAATATATAAAAATAGAATTATAATTAGTAACAAATTCACAGTGTTTAAATTTTTTTTTTGTATTTTAGGGAAGAGTCTACAGGGTGTTCAGGGTCTCATTATTAGATCAGACTCCTAGTGATCCACCTGTTTACAGCCTCCCAAGAGCTGGGATTACAGGCGCGCCACCATGCCCAGTCTCAGTTGCTGTCTCATCATGCCCTTGGGATGGGGCCAGCACAGCAGGCCCAGGGATTGAACCCCCGCCCCTATACCTGCTTGCAAGTGCTTTAATCCACTGAGCTATTTGGCTGGCTCTAAGTTCACAGTGTTTTACAGTCTCCCTAGGCCTCTTCTCGACTCTGTTGTTTTCTGTTGCTACTGATTGCTATAAATCAGTGTTTTGCAAACTCTAGTTTATGGTTCATTAAAGGATTGTAGAATCAATTTGGTGAACTATGTGCACTGCTTTTAAGAAGTAAAATAGAATAGGATAAAAAATATCAGTATGAATCATGGACAGTAAGGATAAATAACATTTCATAAAACTTTAATTTCTGTGTGTGTGTGTGTGTGTGTGTGTGTGTGTGTTTGTGTATGCATGCACAGGTCCTGCATTATGATGGATAATATATTCTTTGTAACTATCATGATTAAAATGTTTCCAGGCCACCACGATAGACACTGGTGCAAATCACTTCTGAATCCTTGATTGTTAGTCCACAGATCTTTCCAACTTTCATTTCATCTCAGGTGAAAGCCTGTCGCAGCATTTCTCAAATATAAATATGCTTTGGAATAAGCTGCGGTGCTTTTCAAAATGAAAATTCTGCATCAGCCCTTGGACATTTGAAGGCAGTGGGCCTGCCATAAAGCCTTGGAGCCCAAATTTCTAGCTGGTTCCACGTGCCACGCTGGTGTGTGTGTGGTACGTGGTCTAGGCTTTGGGAAGCATGGGCCTAAGTGGACATTGGTGGTGGCTGTGTAATAGGAATTTTTTTAAAAAATTGGAAGCGGTATGAATTGACATTTTGCACATTGTGAGTTCACCTTTATCTGATCATGAGGGTAGAGGCCTGTTTCAGAGTAACCATGCCTGGGGTCAAGGTGGTAGACAGAGGCCCTGCCCTGTGCAGTATGTGGTAGCAGGAGGGCTGTAGTTTTGTTCTTGTGATCAGGAACCTACATCGCAGTAGTGTGGATCAGCATTTCAGGTCCCTTTGAAAGGATCTGATTGACAAATACCCTAGGATGTTTTTTTTTTTTTGTTTGTTTGTTTTTTTGTTTGTTTGTTTTTTGGTGGAACCAGGGATTGAACTCTCAGGCCTTTGCACTTGCCAGACAAGCACTTACTCTACTGAGCTATCTCCCTGGCCCTAGGATGATTTTGTTAGGACAGCCTGGAAGAAAATTGGAAGAAATCCCCCACCCTAACATGTGCAATTCTTTTTTTGTTTTTCTTTTTTCTCCCAGTGTTAGAAATTGAATCAAGAACCTCACTCATGCTAGACCAACTCTCTACCACGCAGCTACATTGCCAGCAACTCCTCTGAAATTTGAGCAGCTTTACCTTTTTCTTTTTGGCTTTTTTAAATCAAATAAAGGGCACCGGGTCCTGAGAAACGGAGGCTTGGAATCAGCCCCTTCATGACTTAGGCAGCAGCATCTCGCAGTGTGGAGCTAAGCCTGCCTTGTGTGGTGCGCAGCTCTTTCAGAGGGAGCCTGCAGCCTGAGTTGTCTTAGGGAGATCTGCACACGGCATCTAGATTAAAGGTTGTGTCAGTGTTAATCATCCTGAGTATGATTATTGTGCTTCACAGTGTTATAGTGTCCTGGCTCTTAGCAGGTATATGTTTTCAAAGGAGACATCACAATGTCTGTAACTAACTCCCACACGAGAGAGAGAGAGAGAGAGAGAGAGAGAGAGAGAGAGAGAGAGACAGAGACAGACAGACAGACAGACAGACACAGGGACAGACACAGGGACGGACAGAGAAAGGGGAGTGAGAAGAAACAGAGAGACAGAGACATACACACACAGAGAAGACAAATATGGCAGAATTTTAATACTTGTTGAATCTATGTGAAAGTTAAATATGTACTTTCTACAC